TTTTTGTCAAACAATTTGCTGATGGATTTCAAAAGCCATAAGATGTTTGTACCTCACTTTCATGAACTTCTATTACATACACAAAAAATTATATGTGTGTCATATAAAAATGTTTATATTATACTTTTTTTTTTAAAAAAAGGCTTTTGTCATAAGGTTCATGTGCTTGCCAGAGAGAAACAAAGAGAAGTAGTGAGAAGGAAAGTAAGAAATCAACCCCCTATGGGAGAGGGCCATGCCACAATCCCTTCTACATTCTCTGCTTCAGATTTGGGGCATGTTCACACACACATACACCCAGTGTAATTTTTTTTTCTTTTTTTGGAGTAGGGCGTGTGCGCTCGCCAGAAAGACAGAGAGACAGAGACAGAAAGCAAGAAATCCCCCCCCTGGTGGATGGCCACACCGCAATCCCTTCTCCTCCATTCTCCTCTCGGAATCTTGGGCACGCACACACACGCGCCTGGCGTGAGTTTAAGCCACTGGGTCAGAGACTCAAATCGCAGTCAACTATGTGGGAGTCCAGCGACACAGCCATTACTCTAACTGCTGGTCCCCACCCAGCATAATTTTCAAGCCACCTGCTCTGGGACTCAAACTGCGGTCATTCATGTGAGAGTCCAGTGCCTTAACCATTACACCACCTGCTGAATCCAATATATTAAACTATTAATTGAAAAAAATCATGCTATATGTTTCATATTACAATATATGCAACTACATTAAAAAATATATGCACATCCAAGAGTCTACAAAAATGTGGGCAAAAATTATAGCAGTTCTTTCTCTTTTTGAGAGAGAAATTTTTGCTATAGGGGCGTGTGTGCTTGCAGGAAAGACAGAAAGTGAGAAATCACCCATCAGTAGGGGGTGAAGGGGTGGCCACGCCGCAATCCCTTCTCCTCCATTCTCCTCTCAGGATCTTGGGCACATACACACGCAGTCTGGTGTTTCAAGCTGCCAGGTCCAGGACTCCAACCGTGGTTGACCACATTGGAATCCAGAGATGTAACCATTATTCCATCTGCTGGTCCCATAGCAGCAGTTCTTTAAAGATGTCACAATTCTTGATAACCTTTAAAGCTTTCAGTAAAGTTCCCTTTTTTTTTAACAGTGAAAAGAAAACCATTTCAATGAAAGTAGGAACAAGTTTCCCCATATCATTGGTTACAAGCCAGAACTTATTCTTTAAATTGGATTCATCCTATACTAAGTTTATAACCCTAAAAGAAGTTTGACTCTCTTTACCCATCCAATTGACATCATCTAAAATAATCATTATATTAACTTATCTCATTGCTCCTCTGCAAATCCTCCCAAACTTGATCCAGGGAGACCCCCTCTGGAGATGAGAGAGAAGTTCACCTCAGAGTTCAACCTTAAACTATGTTCGAATGACTTCATTTTTAAAAAATTCTCTTAAAATACCTTAGTTAGCATCTCCCTTAGTGTCTAGTGTATACTAGCCAACTATCAGAGGCAACATCATCAGAAAAACGGAGAGGTAATTACCGGGTCAAATCCATTTGACCCACTTTATCTTGCTTAAAAACAGACGATTGAGGAAAACACTCTGTTGCAAGATGAACTTGAGTTTCAGAAAAATGCTGATGAAAACAATGATCACTAATAACCCTTGGAAGACCACGCTCATTTATTTATAAACATAGGATAGAACCATACTTCCAATTTAACCACTTAGCTTAGCAACCCTTTACTGCTCATGATTCTGTATTTTAAATATCAATCACACAATGAAAACATAACACGTGTATATACAAAGGACATTACTATAACCTATTATCAGCCACTGTAGATCACTGCCATTCACATCTGACCTTGTGCACAGCTCCACGACTGGCTGATTAGGATTCAAAGAGATGTTACATGGTGTCCATGTCTGTGGGAACCATGCAGTTACAAAGACAGGACGTAAGAGGATAACTATTGATTATGCTAGCCTATCAAAAGTACCAAGAGAATCCTTCTAGTAACTTTCCTTTTGCTCAGTGAAAGAACTGGTCACTCTGGGATGGTTGGGACAGGGACATGGTTAAGCCTCCCTCGGGGAAGGGTAGCACTTAAGCAGAAAGAAATGTCAGTGGGGCACTTTAGGGCAAGAGCTTGGTGTAAGCAGGGGCTCACAGGCAGAGGATCCACCTCTTGCTGCAGGGAAAAGTAAACAGGCCAATATAGCTGAAGACAAAGGACAAGATAGGACACTAGAGGTGCCAAGGTTTACTGGAGTAGGTTTTGAAATCCAGGCCAAGAACTAGCTCTCATTTTCTAGCAACAAGAAACCACTTCACAGGATTTGAAGTGAGTTCCAAACCCAAATAATAGAAGTAAGAATAGAGAAAAAGGAACTATCTATGACCGAAACTGATTGAAAGATACACAAACACAAGAGATGGGTGTGAATGCCAGATGTGGTGTGTGTGGAGGAGTGGGGCCTGGGAAGGACGTTTGGAGGAGGGGTACAGAGGCAGAGCATTGGCGAGATGGGGAGGCGTGGTGTAATCTGTTGACGATATTCTGACCAACTGGACTGGGGAGAAGTGTTCACGTATTGAAAAAGCATTTAGCCATTGCCCCATACCTAGTCGATTATTCAGGGAGGAAGTTTAAGTTTAGGATGAAGTAAGAGGGGTTCTGCAGAAGCACATGCAGGTATACACACCTAAGTAGGAAGCCCCCCTCTGTGCGGTTCTTGAAGGTTATATAAAGTACCCTCACTACTCTGCCAGCCATCTTCCTTCCTTCCTTCCTTCCTTCCTTCCTTCCTTCCTTCCTTCCTTCCTTCTTTATTTTTTTTCCTTTCTTTCTTTTCTTCCTTTCTTCCTTCCTTTCCTTTCCTTCCTTCCTTCCTTCCTTCTTTCCTTCCTTCCTTCCTTCCTTCCATTAGTCCTGCTTCCCTCCTTCCCTCCCTCTCTTCCTCCCTTCCCCCTCCTCCCTTCCTCCCTTCCTCCCTTCCTTTCTTTTTATTCTTAATTGTCAAAGTGCACATGAGCTTGCCACAGTAAGACAAAGAGAAAAGTAGAGAGGGAGAGGGAGAAAGCATCCTCCCATGGGGGGTGGTCACACAGCAGGCCCTTTCCCTTCATTTCTCCATCCTGTTGAGATTTTAGGCACACACGCACACATACCTGGCATGATTTTCAAGTTGCTAGGGCCAGAATTCAGAGCACAGTCAGCCATGTAGGAACCAGCTCCCTTAACCATTAGGCTATAGAGCCAGCTGTAGCCACCTTATTTCTAGATGTTGCCTTTGCCTTTTCTTTGTTTAATATTGTCACTATTCTATCTTACTTCTTTAAAATATGACATACAAAAATATAAACTTACAGAACATAATTATCTAGCACACACACAAAAGTCATACACAGGATTAATTTAACTACAAAGTCTGACAATACCTTCAATCTGAACAGTTTACAAATAAAGACATAATTATCTGGGATTTTTTTTTTTTAACTATACCATCATAGTTCAGACTTACACATACACACACAAACATACACACACACTCTGGAAGATCTATTTAACTTACAAGCTACTGATCATGTAAGTGCTTCTTTGACTTCAGTACGGGTCATGTTATTAGTGATTTTCTTCAATTCCCTTATGAATCTTGTTTTAGAACGCAGAATGTGTGTAAGTGTGCAGTCTGAGTGTTCCAAGCAACTTATCAAAACTCTTAGACCAAGAAGAAAGTCTGAGATACCTAAGGAAATAGTTGTTTCTGATTTCCAATAAACATCCTTTAATCTATAACTAAAATGCTAGGTATAATTTTATTTTCGAAGAACAGCAAAGTGAGTAAGTGAGGAAGGCTTTGTAATGTGCTAATTGAGGTCTGATAGTAAGTGCAAAAGTCTGACCCCAAAACCCACATTGTCCCCACCATGTTATATTGTCCAACCACCATTCTAGGGAGCTCCAATAGAGTTCTAAAACTGTTGTAAATTTCTCGACGCAAAATTTATTTAATTTGCTTTCATTTAAAAATTAAATAATAAATACATATCATTTGTCACAAGAAAGGACCAAAAAGAAATACTAAGTTGTCAAAACAGTCATGTGTTTTTCTATGCAAAAATGTGTCATGACTCTTCCAACAACCCAACAGGAAGTTAAAGAATTGCAATATGTGTGTGTTCTGTTTTACACATTCGACAATAACTTATTTAACCTTTAGACGCCACATACCAAACTAAGCTTTAGGACTTGATGGTGAGCATTACCCCTCTATGCTTTTATGGCACTTATCACTGAGCACGAGATACAAGTACTCATCAAAAGTGCTCCCTAATAAATACACAAGTAAAGACTGGCCAGTGCTATGTAGAGAAAGTGTCTGATCTGAGGCTCTGAAAGTGTAGAATAGGGGATCACTGGGTAGTCACTGGCAGAATCGAGCACAATTAAAAAGGATTCTGAAACAGAAAGTTATAAGTGAGAAAAATGAGAGTATTTAATTAATAGAATGATGTAATTCCCTATAGCAGAACTGAAGTAATAGAAGCTATCAAAAAAAAAAAAAAAGAAGCTATCAAGATGAAAACTTACTCAGACAAAAATGCAGTTAGTCAACTAATACATTTGCATCACTCAAAAAGCGATCCAACGGCTTCTTTACTTGAAGTGGGACCTCCACCATTTAACCATTAATTATAGTTCACCCCAAGCCCAAGTGCTCTGGGCCCTCTGGGCACATTCACAGAGAATACGGTGTAGCTCTGAGTAATGTTCTAGCATTTTTAATTTCCTAGATTAAAATCTCTCATTAGAAAAATTAAATGTTGAACAGGGCAATTCCTGCTATTTCTTCCATTCCTCCTTGAAGTCAAGCACTGAATCTACTGCAGCACTATTTGGATCATTCCTGTAATCTCCCAGCTCAGCCTGTCCCATCCACCCCCTTCCATACACCTCCCTCCCCATCCTTGCCCAGCTACAGAGCTCAGAGCTGAGGGTGCTGGGGTGGGGTGAGTACTTACTTCCTTTCCTCAAGCAGGGCGATTTCCTTTTTGACCTCATGGTATTCTTCTGCTATTTGGCAGTGCTGTTTGAAGACCTGCATGGATTCCATGGAGTCATGACAGGGTGGCAGAGGCTTCACAAATGACAAGAAGGAGAAATCAGCCCATTTCTTTGCATCAGAATAAATCATTCATCATTTTGTCCTGCTGATGTTCTTTAAGGGAAGATTTGTTCCCGTGAGAACGGCATTGTCCATCAATATTTGAGAGAGTTCAGCTAATTCTATTTGGTGAAAAATAGAACGGTGGATGGATAAGTCCCACATTTATCTTCAGTGTCATTCATGGGCATCTCACACCTGAGCCAGAGCCCTGAAACCCAGTACATGCCCACTACCTGCCATGTGATGGAGAAAAATTAGTCTCTTGATGATCTGCAGTTCTCCCCAGATATCTTAAAGGCTGCTTTAGAGAACAGCAGTGGTGAGGAGATGTTTCAGTCATCTATTTCAATTACCCCTTGCTTCCAGTTACTGTAACCCAGAGGCATATGTAGGGTGGCATAGAAAGGCTTTCTTCTGAAAAATACATGCAACCTGAAGAAATGATACTGGCTGCAGATAATGCTTGCAAGGACTAACTAACCTGTATGAAAGACCAGATCTCAAATAAAACCAGGTCTGTAACATGCAGTCTAAAGAGAGCCTGTGTCTCTCCTCTCATACAGGAGGGAAACAAAGACCAGCTTGGAAAACCTTCCTGATCATAACATGGTAAAAGTCCTATTCATAAGAGAAAAGAAAAAAATAAATTTAAATTACTAAAGGGTATGTCCACCTACCAGAGAGAGACAGAGAGGGAAAGGGAGAAAGCAAACCTCTCCCCTCCAATCCTGCAGTTCCATCTCTTCTATTTCTCCATCCTGTCATTATTTGGGGCAGACACACACACACACACACACACACACAAACACACACACACACATACCCAGCATGATTTTCAAGTCACCAGGACAGTGATTCAAACTGCAGTCAGCTATGTGGGATCCAGTACCCTTAACCACAGAATCAGCCCTCAAAATTATTTTTAAATACCTTTGCCCTGAGTTTATTATTATTATTTTTGGCTATATGGTGTATGTGCTTGCTGGAGACAGAAAGAGAGAGAAAACATCTCTCAGGGTGGATGGCCACACTACAGTCCCTTCTCTCCCTTTCTTCTCTCGGGATTTTTGAGCATACACACACAAATACCCAATGTGTTTTTCCATCCACTGGATCTAGGACTTGAACCGCACAATTAGCCATGTGGGATCCAGTCACCTTAACCACCATGCCACTGGCTAGCTCAAATATACTATTCTAATATCTAAGTTAGCAACATACAATTTAAAGCACTACTTTAGAAATTCTAGTTAATAGCTGTCCAAAGAGTTTTTAAATAATCTTTTAAAATTATTTATAGAAAAAAAGTTTAAGTAAATTCTGAGAAGAGTTTATTGTTAAATGTATTCTATGGTCTAATCCTTTCTATAGTATAGTCTTTGTATATAAACTATGTATCTGACTAGTTCATATTCTCACTAATTTTATATTAGCAAACTGAAAACTAACTAATTTCTTATTCATTGCACCTCTCAATACATTCCTTAAGGACACAGAATTCTTTGGGTGTTACATTTAATGATTTCTACACAGGATTTAACAGAAATTTAATAAAGTTTATGGTCTGATTGATAGCTAAGTTGATCTTTCCTATTTATCATGAGGCCTCTGAGTCGAGATCTTCTAAAGGAAGTAAAATTCTAAGTAGATTTGAGTCAAATTTACCTTCATGTGAAATATGTCTTTCTTAATTTGTAGAAAATATAATAACCATAATATGCAACATCTTGCCCTACTGCCCATGAACATATTTACAGCATAAAATCAACCAATTGGAACTGTTATCCATTTCTATATAGAATTAAATTTAAAATAATGCACGGCAGTACTATAATATAATTCATTCAATGAGATAAAGCTGTTGCCAAAGGAAGTCAGAACTCTTGGCTCATCTAGTCTGTGTCTGAGAAATTGCCAAGCACTCATCAATTTTTACCTGTTACACTGGCAAATTATCAGGTATAACAGTAAGGGGCATGAAAGCAATGTACTCCAGGCACCCGAGCCAAGCTGTATAATCATCTGAGCCTTGTTAAAGGATTTGCTACTACACAGTCCTGAGTGTACACATTCTATCTTGTCCTTTCAAACACCCAATAGACTATACTCAATTCAAGAGACCGGTACATAACTTATCGTATCTATAGGATCTGAACCATGGGTTCAGTATAGCTACTTATGTGACAGCCAAAAGATCCAAGAACTCTGTGTAAAGAATTGCATGCTTAAAGGAATATAGATGAGAACAGCCATGTAAAAGGAGAAATGTCCTTTGCTGCTACAATTGAAAAGGAAAACAGAGAGGCCAGCAGGTAGCATGGTGGTTGGGGCATTGGACTTTCACACTGCTGACCACAGTTCAAGTCCTGGACTTGGCAACTTGAAAAAAACACTGGGCACATGTGCATGTGTACCCAAAATTCCAAGAGGAGAATGGAGGAAAAGGAACTGTGGCATGGCCATCCACCCTCCAGGGATGATTTCTTATTTTCTCTCTTTCTGTCTCTCTCCAGCAAAAGTATGCACCACATGGCGAAAACTTAAAAAAAAAAAAAAAAAAAACCTGAAAATTATATGCATAATTTTTTTGCCATAGGGTGGGCGCCACCACGCCCCATGCATAATTTTTTTAAGGAAAGAGCCCATTTTACCCCTTATCTTACTATCTTGCAATGCTTTTTATTAAGTGGGAAAATGTTTTGTTTATTATTTCTGTTGGCACTTCTTAATTGTGGTAAATTTGAAAATATTATTATATATAGGTAGTATGATCAGGCTGGTAGCTTTCAGGATGCATTCAGTATCCACATTGCTCTTAGCAGGGTGCTTATGCTACCTATTTATAATATCTTCAAGATTTCCTACAATAAAAAGTGTTAATTTTTTAAAAAGTCTCATTGTTTTTAATGGCTTGCTCTTTTAAATTCTTTTTTGATAGAAAGTGTATGAGTACGGAAGATTTACTGCTAAGTGAAACAAGCCAGACTATGAAAGAGAGGCATGGTATGTCCCCACTCAATATATACCAAACGTCTACACCCTATGGCAGAAACTGAAAGATTAGAAGGTATAAATGTATGGAGAGAAATTCTGGATACTAGGAACAGTGTAGGAGGAAAGAAGGAAAAGGGTCAAGGGTGAGAGGGAGGGAATCAAGTGGAAAAAGAAAGAAGAAAAACATTTAAGGGACACAAAAATGGAAAATTATCTGTTGATGATAATATATATGGCAGTATCTTTGACTGAACCAATATATGGTGTATTCACAACAGGAAAATTTATTTGGTATATTGTAATGATACACAGAGATCAAATATAAAAATTAATTAATTAGGGGGCTGGCAGGTGGCATGGTGGATAAGGGCACTGGACTCCCACCTGGCCGACCACGGTTCAAGTCTCGGACCTGGTGGTTTGATTTCTCACTTTCTCTCTCTCTCTCTCTCTCTCTCTGTGTGTATGTGTATGTGTGTGTGTGTGTGTGTGTGTGTGTGTGTGTGTGTGTGTGTGTCTTTCTGGTCAAATTAAAAAATAAAATGAATGAATAAATAAAATTGAATAAATAATTCTTTAAAAGAATTAATTAATTAGTTAATTAATTAAAATGAAAAGAACAAGTTAAAAATGCTTAGAGCCCAGGGACATAAAAAGATGCCAAGTACCGTTTCAGCCTCCAGTCCTTGCATGCTATTTTTATTCCAACCTGACATAAACTCAGCACTACTCTAAGCTCTCCCAATTTCATGAAAATATTAGAGACCAATACAAATGTTTTTTTTTTAAGGAAGGAGGTTATATTGCGTAACCCACCATAGCATTGTACAATTATCTCATTCATTTCCAGAGGCTGAAAGGAAAGAGAAATGGCAAGTTGTTCAATGGGCACAGAGTTTCAGTTTTGCAAGGTAAGAGTTCTGGAGATTAGTTACACAACTGTGAATATACTTAACACTAGTGAATGTTATCCTATGTGGTTTTTACCACAACAACAACAAAAAAATAATGCAAAGAGAAAATCATCTTATTAGATGTTTCAGCTGCCCTTCTCCCATCTTCTAAACATTGCTACCAGATTTCCCCATTGAGGCTTTCTTCATCTGTAGCCAATCTTTCTGTCAGATTTCTCTCCAGGAACTTTACATTTCTCCTGTGCCATTCAGTGCTAACCACAAACATCACTGGGTTAATGAAGTATCCTCTGGCTAGCTAGAGCCATTGTCCTCCAAAGGTAGTTGACATCATCGCACATTTACACCAGCCCAGAAACCTGGTCAAAGAATGTGTTTAAATATATATGGTTCTCATCCCAATAGGAATTCTGATGAATAAAAGTATTAAGATGTTTAGGGCTTATATCTAATATAAAAAGTGGAATTATAGATGAACGTGCTGTGTTGTTCTGTATGATACAGAATATTCTCTTTGCTTCATGGTCTAAAATGTGCACATGCATGGTATCATAAAGTCCTCTTTGAGGATGACTCTCTCTTACTTCTTATTCCCTTAAAATAGGAGAGAATGTACTAGAGGACTTCAAAAAGTTCGTGGAAAACTGAATTAAAGTACAAGTTCATTTGAGCTCAAGAATTAAAATCCATGCATATTTTTTCATAATGTGCATTTTCCACAAACTTTTTGAAGATCTTGCATATGACCAACAGTGTTCATTGAATAAAAGTTTCATCCTAAAAAAATAGATTTCTAAAAGTCAAGCATAAGAATCAGATTTCCAGTTTAAAAATGAAAAAATAAAATAAAATAAAATAATATAAAAGGGAACCAGCAGTTAGCGTAATGGCTATGTCACTGGACTCCCACATAGTCGACCACGGTTCGCGTCCTGGACCCAGTGGCTTAAAACTCATGCCGGGTGCATGTGCATGCGTGCCCAAGATCCTGAGAGGAGAATGGAGGAGATTGCGGCGTGGCCATCCCCCCCTGGGGGGTGATTTTTCGCTTTCTATCTCTCT